CGAGGTCGACTCAGCCTTAAGTGATATACCTGGTGCGGTGTGTAAAACATCAGCCAGCCACCCCTCTCGTGTGCCGTGCCTGGACTTAATAGTTGCTCACTAACAGCACTTGCCCCAACAGTCTGTTAAATACTATTTTGGGGAAATATTTCTCATAACTGTGGAGTGTGTTCTGCAATTAAAGTAAATTAATGAATAAGCCATGGTTTTGGCTATGCAAAAAGGCTGAAATTTTTGTGCTAAAGGGTGGTTTTGTAAATTTTGCCAAATTGGCAAACTAATTGCTGTAACCCCTTTTAGCTTCCGTGATCAATTTGTCACGGAAATATTAAAGTGTAAAATATGAACACATCTTTTTTTATATAAACAATAATTAACATTACATTGCAGGCGTGTATGTAATACTTTCTAGTAGTTCATGAGTTTTGGATGTATTTATTCTTATAGTCAAATAAAAATAATAATCATACTTTTGGTAGGGATAGGTTTTTGGTATAAAAAAAATAGATTTTTGGTGGGAAAATCGTGCAAGCGATGCCATGTTAGGGATGTCACTTCTAGTGTCCAGAGAAATCTGAAATTTTGCATCTAGGCTTTTGATTTCCGTTTTTTTTTCGGATTAACTTGAACATTTGGAACACATCCTTACGATGCTGATGCTGCATTGGCAGTGGTGCACAAAGCATGGTTCATGATAAAGAAAAACTTAATATTTACAACTTTTATTTCTCCAATCAAAATTTTGGAATTCACCTTCCAGTGTTAGTATGTGGCAATCGCTTTAAGAAGCCCTCATCCAGCAGTCATGGCTTCTGATGATAATGCGAACGTGTAAATAATGTGTCATTTCCTTGAACAAACTCAATAGTAAAATCCATTTTCTCTGAAGATTAATTCTCCGCGAGAACGATTTTTCTATATAATCACGGGATATATCCAATTCGACATTCTTTCTATTATCTGTGGATCTGCTTTCCTGTTATCCATGATTTTGCGAATAAGACAAGAGGCACGCTCAGCGAAGTGCTAACGTAATCCTGTTATCCGCGACAATTCGTGGCTAATGCAAGGACAATTCCCATTGTCTCCGAATTTCTTACCGGAGAAATGACAGTCAGACAAACTAACAACCTGCAATGGATGTTGATAGTCGTAATAATAATAGCGCAATGTGTAACATTAATACCATGATTGCGGTACACTACACTGCCGCTAACTCGACTCAATGTCCCTGCAGTCACAAGGAGCAAGTCCCCCAACAGCTCCATACTTGAAGCCCTGCATTTCCAGATCAGGCCAACCACCAAAGCGGATTTTACAATACATCCCTCCAAGCCCACGCCCGTCCGCCCAGGCTTCCTCCCGGCTGTGGCACGAGTTGAACCACGCACCCCCCCCACGCCTCCTTGGCAGCTATCGGTGCTCGCCAGAGAGCGGCAGGGGGAAGGTGCGGTGCCTGACCCTGGCGGTGAAGGCTGCGGTGAACCTTATCTGCACAGTGCCGGCAAGCGCTTGCCAACGGCCGTCCTTCCGCATGGCGTCCGATCCGACCCGAGAATCCGGGCCAGAGAGCACCCAATTCCCTTTAGCCCCCCACCCCGCCCCCCCAAATGGTCTCCGATCCACTTACTCGTCCACCCCTTCCCCCATCTTCGGTTCGTTTAATGTCCACGGCAGGGGTGGCGAATCTACGGGCCGACGCGCCAGATAGGGCCCGCGACTTCGTTTCATCCGCCCCGTAGCCACACGAGCGCCACCGCTTCGAAATGCTCTGCAAGTGATACTTGTCAGCCACTAGCAGCACTAATTGGGTACTAGAGGGGAATGTTTTTTGACCTGCCAACAGCGTTTCTCTATTTTTTGCTCTGTTTTTAATTTTGCCTGCTATGTTGAAAACACTTGAGATCCAACAAGGTATTGATGCATCGATTCTAATTGATTGTCATGCTTGTGATAAATGCATTGAAATTGTCGGTCCAGATTTTGTATGGTTTGTGAAAATGTAAACGTAAATGATATGGGAATTACATTCAGTCTAATGGGGTACAGCCTAAATTGTGACAGTTCATTGAATTGGAGGTGATAATTTTCATGTGGGAATTGGCCAAACATTTCAATGCAGGACCCTCTTGTAAAGTAGTCGTGAGACTCTCGGTCACAAATAAATGATGTGACTGTATATTAAAGAATTGATCAGTAGCAATTGACCTCTGCCTCTCTACTCAGTCATTCCAGGCAGCCGATGAATTGCCTCGTTTGAGAATGTTTAGTATATTTTCGTGTAATCATGTAATGAGAGATGGCATAATTGGTTGCTTGTGGGTTGTGGTCGACAGCTCGCTTGAATCTGTTGTTGCAGTAATGAGTGCACATGTGCACGTGATCATAAACATCCAAAAACTGCTTCAAATGAGCCCTCCTGACCCTTGACCCTCATAAGAGACACAGTGGCAAAAGCATAACTCTGAATCTTTAATTGGATTGCTTTCATAGAAATCCTTCCCCTCCCCCCGCACCCCAGGGAGTCGTTTGGCCATACTTCACTGCGCTGGTCGCTGCTGGTCGATGGAAGCGGGGAGCATTGGACGCGATTAATCGGATACTTGCAGAGATATTTTTTTGGTTGAGAATCGCCCGAGCGTATTGGGGGTGGTGACATCGTCGAGCGGCTAAGCGGCCGTGCTGGGGGTCATGGTCCAAAATTTTAACTGTTTTACAATTTTTTCCACGCAAATTATTCGATCGGGACGACACGTACCAACGTCGCTCCCGACTTGCCAAACTCTGAAACACACCGCGCCTTCGGCTCCCGTAATCCGCGGCACATCGCGGGACGGATTTAAAACGCATCACGGACCACTAACCGCGCGATCCGTAGACGTGAGCGGGGCTGTTGCGGAGCCGCAGGGAAAACTCGGAGGTAAATTTTCGTTGTAATTTTATTTACGTCTTACAGGACTATCCGCGCTGTCGTGATTTATTTCAGCATTAAACGGATTGTTGTATTTCTTTTAGACTGGATGCCAAATCTGAGAGAAATACAAACATCGACCCAAGTGGCAGATTTGTGCCATTTGGCTCTGAGAAAATATCGCGACCTCATGAGTGGAATCGCACGGCTAATTCCCTCCGTGATCCGCGGCACACCGCCGCGGCACGAACGTTTCTTCAGCGGATTGTGAGTCGAGCGCGATCCGCGCTGATATGGTCCCCCCATATCAACGAGGATTGTCGGATTTCTCCCGCATTACTATTTTCGCGCGGCTGAGAAAAATATCTGAGCTCAGCAACAGAAGCACGGCGGACATTGACAGAGGGGATGACGAGCAAGCACATACATCACAATCGTGTGCCCGGGTGCACGGATCTGGCATTCCTAACAAGCACATGTATTATTTTTTTGCAGGTTTTTCACTTATATTCTTATAAATCCCGTCCGTGCGCCGTACGTGAGCGAGGAATGGGGCATGTTGTAATGGAGAAAATGATGTGACTGAAAGCCGCCCCTTGTTTACAGTGAGGCCGTGTAATAACATGCGGTGTATCGTGTATGTGAATAATTCACATGAATCAATGAACCGCTCTTTGTAAGGCCACTGGTGTCTCGGTAGGCTACCTTAAAGCATTACTGTACTGATGAAGTGGAAAAGAACTCGTTGATAAATCCGAGAAAGGCGTTCATCACCCCGAAGCTGGTGGTTGCCTCGTAGCACTTTGGCAGCGGGCGATCACTCTCATGAAGATCCCCCAATATCGCCTTCAACAGTTCGAATGTTGGGGCAAGCGCTGCTAGCGAGCACCTATTAAGAGAACCACGACCGCCCGCCCGCCCGCCCGCCCGCCCGCCCGCCTGCCACTGTCTCCCCCAATGCCGATGTTTTACACACTGCACCGGGTACTCATTTACGGCTGAGTCGACCTAGGGGAGGGCCAGGACCGGTACGGATATTTGTCACAGATATTGGGTGTAGCAGTGAGCAGTGTGCTCACGACTACACTACCGCTGCCTGCAACAAAGACAAAGGTCCCCGGTGTAGCCTTCATAAGAGATTTTTTGGGGCAACGTGCAAATACACGCACAACCACACGAATTCTTTGGGACAAATTTGATAACCATTAAAGATTCTGGGCGTCTGAAATTGTATTTGTGCCGAGAATGCCCACAGCGAGGATACTTTGATTGGGTGGGTGTCACATTCTTGGTTGCAGGTCTGGGTGTATGAGGGTGTCGACGCAATGGTTAGCGCGCTGTGCTACTAACCCGGCGACCCGAGTTTGATTCCCGCTCACGACCAACACCGGTGACGATTATCTGAACCAGTTCTGGGCCCCCCCGTCCCACCCTAGCTCGACTCGCTCTCAAATAAGTAGCTAGGACGGTGTGTGAACATCACCATTGGGGAGACACGGCTGGCCGTGCGTGGTGCTGGCCACCCATCCCTTCATTAGCCATGTCTGCCTTAATAGGTGCTCGCTAAAAGCACTTGCCCAAACAGCGAGTTGAAGGTTATATGGGGGCTCTTTGTTTATGAATTTAGTGGTAAGCGTGCGTGTGGATGTGGTGTGCTTGTGTGTACGTGCGCAATTATGTGGTGTGCTTGTGTGTGTGTGCATGTGGATGGTGGTGTGCGTGTGGTGTGTGTGCATGTGGTTGGTGGTGTGCGTGTGGTGTGTGTGCATGTGGATGGTGGTGTGCGTGTGGTGTGTGTGCATGTGGTTGGTGTTGTGACTGCGTGGATGGTGGTGTGCGTGTGTGCATGTGGTTGGTGGTGTGACTGTGCGTGGATGGTGGTGTGCGTGTGTGCGCAATGATGTGGGGGTGTGGGGCCCGCTGGGAGGGGAGTCGTGGGGGCAGTGTGTGACTCGTGAGTAGCGGTGCATGGCTACCGGCCTATCGGCCCATGTGCAGCTGGTGCCGTGGTTTTCCTGCCCCCGTGCTCCTCGCGTTTCGGGTCCCCTCCGGCTCCGGGAATCGTCACTCTGCTAATTGGTGTGGCCGGGAGAGCACCGAAAATCGCGCTCCGTCTCCCGGCAGTGGCGCAAGGGGCGGCAGTGGCCCCCCCGGCTTTGCTTCGGGACGCGCGGCCGGTCATCTGTGCGGCACCGCCACAACCTTTCAGCTGGTTTAATTAGTAAATATTTTTCTTTGTTTAAAAAACAAATTAAGGAGCGTTTTATCGTCCTTGCAACCTTGTCACCTAACCCACCGCCCCCCCCCCCAGCAATGGATGAAGAGGCAGCGAAGCCAGGTGTGGTGGATGAGTGTTCGGTGTGAGTGTGGGGGGGGGGGCACAGCGGTGGTTTATACGGGCTCGCTGTAAGCCGGATTCTTACGGCTCGGCATCAGTTTTGATGGCTGTATTGACAGGCCTGTCGGGCACCGGGTGGTTTACAGTTACAGGCACTTTGTGTGCTGCCAGTCCGCCGATGGAACAAAACATTTCCTTGTAACCCTACTCTTCTTCTCTGTCGCTGTGAGCTCAGCGCCGCCGTGCTGAGTGTAAAACACCCCAGTGGCTCACGGCAACAGCTGGCAGGCAGGCAAGGCAGGTAAGCAGGCAGGCAGGCAAGATAGGCGGCAGGAGAGCGCGACTCCGACCAGGAGACGCAATAAATGTTGAGAGCGGCCGGAAAATGTTTCCGCTACAAAATAGGTGACTCTTTTGAGGTGCTTTTAAACGGGTGCGGAGCGGTCAGAAATGGTTCGCTCATCGTGTTGTTGCGATCGGCTTCCACAGGCTTTGCCCGAGTTGTCTCTTCTAAAGGCTTCAATGGCTTGAGACCGTTCCCATCCGATTGATCACGGTGTGTGGCGAGTGAGGAAATGTTTTTTTTGTGATTTCGCGATTTTTTTATCCGTTTCGAGGTTTGCCGTGAGCTGAATGCTATCTTGGCGGTGCACCGCGCGGTGAATATCTTGAAACTGTTATTTTGTCGAGTGTTTTTATTGTGTTGCTTACAGCAGACGGGTGGTGCGCGCGGTTTTGCCCTTTGAAACCTTTGTCGCTATCTGGCGTGGGGCCTCTCTTCCAGGTCAGCTCAACCTAAAAATAAATACGGTACCTGTGTTTGCGGGCGATGCGTCAACACCTGGCCATGGCGTGTCGCGCGGTGTGGGGGGGCCTCGTTGTTTACTCACGAACGGCGCGCACCTTGAATGGAGTGAGCAGGTTTACGAGGGTTTTCTAAAAAAAGGATTTAGTCAATACAAATTTGCGTACGAGCGTGATGCTACGGTGGGGGGGGGGGGTGCAAGAGCGGTTCGTACGCTGCGTGCCACGGTTCCATTCACCCCCGGGTTGAGTTCTTGGCCGTGATGCGACACCTGCGGAAAATTGCTGCCCGAACTCCGCACGGATCCGTGCTGGAAGATTAATTCGGCCTGAGAATCAGTTCGGGGACCTGAGAATTAGTTCGGGGGCCTGAGAATCAGTTCGGGGGCCTGAGAATCGGTTCGTGGGCCTGAGAATCGGTTCGAGGGCCTGAGAATCAGTTCGGGGGCCTGAGAATCGGTTCGTGGGCCTGAGAATCAGTTCGTGGGCCTGAGAATCAGTTCGGGGGCCTGAGAATCAGTTCGTGGGCCTGAGAATCGGTTCGAGGGCCTGAGAATCGGTTCGAGGGCCTGAGAATCGGTTCGAGGGCCTGAGAATCAGTTTGAGGGCCTGAGAATCAGTTTGAGGGCCTGATAATCAGTTTGAGGGCCTGAGAATCGGTTCGTGGGCCTGAGAATCGGTTCGAGGGCCTGAGAATCAGTTCGGGGGCCTGAGAATCGGTTCGAGGGCCTGAGAATCAGTTTGAGGGCCTGAGAATCAGTTTGAGGGCCTGAGAATCAGTTCGGGGGCCTGAGAATCAGTTCCCGCGAGAATCAGTTCGCGTGAGAATCAGTTCGCGGGCCTGAGAATCAGTTTGCGTGAGAATCAGTTCGTGGGCCTGAGAATCAGTTCGTGGTCCTGAGAATCAGTTCGCGGGCCTGAGAATCAGTTCGGGGGCCTGAGAATCAGTTCGTGGGCCTGAGAATCAGTTCGTGGGCCTGAGAATCAGTTCGTGGGCCTGAGAATCAGTTCGGAGGCCTCAGAATTTGTTCGGGGGCCTGAGAATCAGTTCGGGGGCCTGAGAATTTGTTTGTGGGCCTGAGAATCAGTTCGGGGGCCTGAGAATCAGTTTGTGGGCTTGAGAATTAGTTCGGGGGCCTGAGAATTAGTTCGGGGGCCTGAGAATCAGTTGGCTTGAGAATCAGTTCGTGGGCTTGAGAATTAGTTCGGGGGCCTGAGAATCAGTTCGGGGGCCTGAGAATTAGTTTGGGGGCCTGAGAATTAGTTCTGGGGCCTGAGAATCAGTTCGGGGGCCTGAGAATCAGTTTGGGGGCCTGAGAATTAGTTCTGGGGCCTGAGAATCAGTTAGCGGGCCTGAGAATCAGTTCGCGGGCCTGAGAATCAGTTCGAGGGCACGATCTGGCTTCTAACATCAGCCCCGCCACGTTGACGTGGGGGGGGGGGGGGGACCGGGAGCGACGTGCGACATTTCATAGCCGCCACTCGTCAACGGCGCTTGCCCTCAAGGAGAGCCGTGAGACTTGACAGTGCACGCTGTTGGCTTTGCCTTGCTCGTGTTAGGGAAATCGCGTGCGTGCGTTGTGAGCACGTGGCGCACGCCGCGAATGCACGTCCCCTCCTATCAGGCGTCGACAGCTCCTCGCAGCTCGTCCCGTGTGAAGTCACCGCTGCGCTGGTGCCGCCTTATCGGTGGTGGTGGGGGGGGGGGGCCGTGCGTGCACCCCCCTTGCGCGCACCCATGCGCTGGCACGCTCCATCCGACGCGGCTGCTTCCTGCCCGTTCCCCTCCATGTCGACGCACCCCCCCTCTGCCCAAACCCCTTCCACCCCCCCGCCCGCCCGCACCTCCTTGTGCGCTATCGCCGCAGCGAGCCTGTTTCCTTTCACTCGCCGCGAGCCCGGCTGCAGATGGGAAGGCACGCGCTGCATCGGGAAGCGTGGCCCCTGTGAAGTGGGCCACGTGGCCCGGCGAGAACGGCCCCTTGTAAACATGCCCCACGGTGCGAGCGAAACAGAGTTCAGCGTTATAGCTCTCGGATGGTTGTGCTCGGGTTGTACCGCGTGTTGTTGGGGCATGATTCAGGAGCTGGGTTGTTCCTGATTCTGGATGGTGGGCTCCCAGGGGCGTGCAGCGAAACGTCGGACGTCGTGCCGACCCGGAAACGCATCCGAGAGCTGCGTAGCACAACCGCGAAAAGCTTGCGCAGTCAAGTTGCTGCTACTATTACGACGGCGAGGGATAGCGATAAAAACATTTTCAGAGAGGGAACGCAATCATTCATGATTGCTGTACAATGTCTTGTGACCTATGAATACCTTTTGATTTAATGGTATTTGTTAGGTACATATGTACACCTGTGAAAATATACAGTAAAATTTTTTCCAGTCGTCTCCTTCTCTAGATTGAACATGAATTAACCTCCGGTGAAGATTCACTCCCAGTTAATGCCGAGTCACATTTGCAACAAATAATGAACTATCTTCACAGGGCAACGTGGTGGCGCAGCGGAGGGCAGTGCAGTGAACGAAATCATTGCGCCGTACTCCTATGCTCCCTCGTTCGGTCGTATATCCCCGGCCGGTATCCGTGCGGCGTTGAGAAGGGCCACCTCCCCCCGCCTCCCAAATCATCCAGTAGGGAAGGGCTCCCCCTCACTCCACCCCAAGGGAAGGGCCCCCCCCCCACTCCACCACGCATCCAGCAGGAGATCGACTCGACGTGTCCGCGCACGTTTCCGCGCAGACGACTCGTCCCGCGCTCATCCCCGCCGCTCCTTCTCGCTCCCCCCCCCCCCCTCCTTGCCAGTAGTCCCGGCGACACCGCCGCCACCGCCGCCACCGCCGCCAGCCAAGGTGCCCGGCGTTTCTCCGTCTCCGCCGCCGGCCAAGACTCGCCTCGCGGTCTCGGCAGAACCGCCGCCCTCCTCCTCGGCCAGGCCCTGCAGCGGCGCCGCTCCCGTCGCGCCCGGCGCCACCGGAGACACGGCGGGGCCCGTGCCCCTCGCGAACCCCGGCATCTCCGGGGGGAGCGGCGGCGGAGGTGGCGGAGGAGGAGGTGGCGGAGGAGGAGGAGGAGGCCTGCTGTGTGGACCCTGCGGACCGTGCGGACCGGGAATCATGCTGGACCGCGAGCTGGGCTACGAGCGCACGTACGTACATGGACGCACTCGGACGCACGCAGACCCACGCACAGCACAGTACGTGTGTGTGTGGGTGTGGGTGTTGAACTTCTTCCACAACAACGGAGACAACCGTGCTAATCGGAGGTGCGGGGGAAGGACAACAAACTAAGCACTAAAAAGCAGTTAGAAAGAAATTAGTTTTCAATCTAGCATGCACGGAATGGCGCATATTTCTCCACGAACTTTAAAAGAGTTTTTATATAAATATAGTTAGTCTATGTGTCCTGACTTTTGGGCCACCCAGTACAAATTATGTGCACAGCTTTCCTCCCCCTCTGCCATATTAGGTCTGTCTGGAACAACACAACTGTACAAAACGGTCAATGAACAAAAACAACGATGCAAAGTAAATGAAATAAGCAGACAACAAAAAAAAGTACACGATTCTTCAATCAAATCACAACCCTGAGTTTGTAGCAAGTTACTTCATCGCTGGCGCGGGGGCATTGGGGTGAGGAGGGAAGGTGGTAAATTATTCCAAATGCACTCAAAAGACGCGCTGCCCCTTGTTAGTCTACTGGTGAGAGAGTTCCTCCCATCACCGTGCCGATTGGAGGGAGTCGACAGGCCATACTTTACTACGCCGGTCGATGCTGGCCGGGAGCATTGGACGTGGGGGCATAGAAGTACCATACAAAATTATATTTGTTTGCTTCACGGCCCTCCGGTGCCTGCCACGGTGGCGAGATGCGAACTACCTCGTCTGGTATACAGGAGGTCGTGGGTTCGATCCTGACCCTGACGATACCTGCTGTATATTTGGAGTTTGCATGGTGTTCTCCCCGTGGTCGTGTGGATTCTTCTCTAGGTCCTCCGGTCTTTCCCTCCACGTTTAGAATCAACATCACGTGTTTAGAGTATTTGGCTCCTCTACATTTCCACGTGATGATAAGCCACTTTGTCGAGGCATCATTTGTGATAGCCAGGTCGCTGGCTATCACAAATGAGCTATATAGCTCGAGTGAGGCCTTACCTAGTAATATAAAAAGTTTCGTTTAAGTGTGGCGGTGCTCGTCAGAGTGGCCATGCGGGGCTGATTACGCGCGTTTAGCGTTGGGGCTGCCCTGCCTTGCCCACCACGTTACAGCACTTTGCTTAAAACGTGGGGGTTAGCCAGAGTACATTTAAAAAAAAGTAAATTGCTTAATCTTGTAACGCGTTCTGCATGCTGATTTATGGAACGAAGAGTAAACCACTTAATAATTGTCTAAACAGGCTGCTCCATTATTCTTCCTAAGTGTATACTTTGTATTGTTTATTAATATTTATACTTCTATGCTTAATTCACTATCATTTATTTCTGCCATCATCCCGTATACAGACAGTGATACAATTAATGCCCGGTTGTTGTTGTTGTTATTTATTACAGTGTGTATTAATATTGTTGCACTCGATGATTCCCTGCGGATATTCCTTCCACGCTTGGAAGGATCTCCATGAGCCTCGGGCTTTAACGCTGAACCCGAGGAATCCTAAGGGTGACCTAGTCTGCGACATGGTTTGAAAACACATCACAGTAGTTATGCCTATGGCAGTCGATGAATATGGAAAGGGATCAAACTTGTTAAATAAATAGGTGTAGAAGAGCACGTTTGGAGTGCATTTGGAAAACTGACATTGAACATGAAACGCAAAGGTACCGATGTGCCTGAGAGTTTGTGCTCGGTGTATAATTGCTGCTTCGATGTACGGATGATAAACATGGACGAAATAGAATGGAGCACAAGCTGCGGAGTGCGTGGAGAAGCGTGGCGTGATGTGAAGTCTTGGATTTGTGCTGAGAGACGGAAAGAGTAACACGCGGATCAGAGAACTCACGCAACTTAGAGATGGGACTCGTCGCTCGAAGTGCTGTTGGCGGATGGTCGAGACTGTTGGCAGAGTGGCAGTCAAAGGTGGAAAACATGCCTGAGAGGATGGATGTGTGCCGTGAAAACGAAGCGATGAATTCGGCTCGTGTGCATGGACTCCATGGATCGTTGTATCGTGCGACTGTGAGAGATGGTGACGGCTTTAGGAGGCCCTCATCCAGCAGTGGATAGAACCATGGCCGCTGATGACGGTGAACGTCATTCCATGGAGTCAGCCCTGTCGAATCGCCAAATTAGAAAATTAGACGCGATGATGAATTCAGATATGAAAACGCTTCAGTTGCGGGGCCGGATGACGGTACTGTAAATGGGATGTGACAGACATCTCCGTGGGTCTCTCCGGCACGGATAAAGTTTTTTGAAATGAAATCCTGTAATTTGACATATAAATAACATGGCCTGGTGGTGAGAGCAGATGGCGCGCCACTGAAGTGAATTCCTTGAGGCACGACCGTGCCCGTATGTGGAGCGGCTTCTCCCCCGTCACCTCCACCACCGGGTGTGGCACAGGAGCTGGTGCCGCAGTTGGCACAGTGGCGCTACCTCGTAGGGCTGCAGTCGGGAAACCTTCCCATGGCGATTCGACGAGTGATTTTGAACAATAACGGAGTGGCGGCCGAGGAATGGAAGACTCCTTGAGCGCTCTGCCACCGAGCAGATTGCAGCGATGAAATCGGCTTTTCGTGTGTGCAGGTGTTGGGTGGATTGTTACGCTGCAGGGTCGTGAGAGGTGTTGGCAGCATGGGGAGGCCTTCATCGACCAGTGGATTGACCATGGCTGATGCTGACGATAGTCAATGGGTGGGGGAGCAGCGGTGCAGTGGTTCTTGCGCTTGGCTATGAATCAGGGGCCTCCGAGTTAATTTCCCAGTGACAGCTAACATCAGTGGTTGTGGCTTATTTCAGATTATCTGGTCTTTGGCCTATACGCTTCACCAACCCGCATTGATCAGCGTAGTGAAGGATGGTGAAAACGTTCTACATCTATAACCGACATTGCAATTGCAGGCCTTCATCCAGCAGTTGATTGCCAAAGAGCTGTATCTTTATATACAGTATAAATGTATAGTCAATGCTCTCACTGAACATCGACCTGCAGTATTCCCTACTGTCTCCTTCTCACAGGGCTCATCTAGATTGAGCGGTGTGTACGGCTTGAAAGTATGCCTGTGTTTCCGTAATATCTCATTTGGACCGTCCAGTGCTGGATTATGAGGGCGCCACAGTTGCGAGATGTTAATTCCCTCGCCTGGTATGCAGGCGGTCGTGGGTTTGATGCCAGCCCTGACGCCTGCTGCTGTATTTTTGGAGTTTGCGTGTTCTCCCTGTGATAGCGTGGATTTTTCTCCGGGTCCTCCGGTTTTTCCCTCCACATTTAGAAACATGTGTTTAGAGTATTTGGCTGCTTTAAATGTCCACATGGTGATAAGCCACTTCGTTGAGCTTTCATTTGTGGCCAGGTCACTTCTGAAAACAGAGCTGTAGAGCTCAGTGGGCCTTACCTGGTAAAAGAAAAAAATATATTAGTTTTAGTTTAATTTATTTGTCTCATCTGCACCGTATTGTTGTCTTTTTACCCCATTTTGTGCAGTTGAAATCTTTAGCGTAGACTTCTGCACAGTCCTCTCTTTCGCGACCAATATAATCACAAATCTGTCTGTCGCCTGATGAAGCTAGTTGTAATTACCGGCGAAACGTCGTACTAAGATTGTAAATGTTGTGTCTTGGCTCTCCAACACACCGGTGTGCTGTACTAGTGACGAATCGGCATGTTCTGTTTACGTGACAACCTTTACTAGTTGGCTGTGTCGGGTGGTAGCGGGTTTAACGACACATTTATATATTTACGCGATGTAACCCAAAACAACCTGTATTATGGACAGTCCCCTCTGTTGTACTGGGTTCTTGTACTGTACTGTATTAGGGTTAGGGGTTTGTACTGGGTTTTTTTGTAATGCACACTACTGATTGCCATTCATTGCGTGTACGTATGTTGAACTTCTTTCGCATCGTACGTAGCCACCCGTGCTAATCGGAGGTGCGGTGAATCGTTGGTGCGCTGTGCATCACGTGACCCATTGAGTCCATCTCATTCTGTGTCCATCACGTTGCCCGTCTCCCTTGTGCCGCGTCGCTCCTTGCTTTCACGTAAAACGAGCGACGTATCTTCGCGTAAAAAAAGAAAAATCTCGTCTTAAGATTTGTAAACGTTTAGTTGTTGTCCAACAATCGATCGTAATCGATGCATCGTTGTAGCCCCATCTGCGACCACCGCGGCTGGCTCGGAGTCGTGAATCCGGCGGAGACGTCAGATCGCAAGGAAAACCCGCCGCCACTCGGGGGTCACTTGCAGCGCAGGTGCGAGCGGAGTGCTCCAGGTGTTTATAATTTGTTGTTGTTTTTGCACTCTTCTTCTAGGTGCGCTTGAAGTCTTTCCAAGGTAGCGCAATCACCAATAGCCCCGCTGCTCCAACACCCGAGCACTCGCTGGGGGTGGCTGTGCATTCGCCCTCTCTTCTTGCCCGGTTCTCTGGAACCTGCCCCACCCCCACTCCCCTGCGTGGCTGAGCCTTGCATCGAAAGCTCGGAGATTTGGCTGAACGCCCTGCTTAGAAGAGACATCCTTTGCCTCGCAGTAGTCCGGCAGCTCACAATGTAGATGCCGATCATGGGAATGTTAATGCTAAAGTTAACTGGCCCGGCCTGGCCAGTTGCTGTAATTCAATCCGACCCGGTCTGCGTTTTGCGGCGGCCGGAGGGATTAGAGCGATTTTTCGGTCCAGCGATCCACAAAAGCGGCGGGGGAGCAAAATGTGGAGATGCGATAAGCGGGGGGAAGAGCGCGGACTTGGGTTGGATTAGGGACGCGCGCGCCCCTGTGATGCGTGCGGGCGTGCGGGTCCGGGCGGTTCCGGGCCGAGCGGCTGCCGGGCACGCGGCGTGGGCTGCCCACCCACCACCACCCCCCCAAGAAACGAAAACGACGCAGCGGCAGGATGTTCTGGCGGCGGCGAATGCGGGGGGGGGGGGGGGCAGCGCATGGCATCGGCGGCCGCACGCCGTGCCGCCGATCGACGCGAGCCGAGGCGGGCGCAT